TATTAAAAAATCATTCAATATTAGCGCCCTTGAGCGGCCATCTTGAGCAGCCATCTTGAGCGACCTTTCTTATCTATAGCACTTCCGTCCCCTTGCTCAAAACCATATGTTCTCTCCTGTGTCTTTTTACTCATTGGTAAAAACAAAACACAGGGGACAATGGCTGTGTATGTAGTTCCATCTCAAAGGTGGATTTGGTGGCAATTGGCGCTAGTGTACGGGGAGGTCAAAACTTTTACCGAATGGCCGCTCTCATGCTTCTCTCTGTCAGTTGTCACCGATGACCGATGAGGATCCGTCAAAATATTGTTAATGATAAGTTATGTCGCTTGAATGGATGTATGCATGTAACAGCGAATGTAAGTTAATATAATTGAAAATGAGTCTCGTAGCGTACGATAGCAGCGATGAAGGCTCCGAAAACGAGGAAAGCGAACCCGCGAAGCTGAATGCCGTGAACAATACGGATAACGATGCCGAAGCAGTAACCGTGCAAATAACCTCGAAGTTGTCCTTACCTGCTCCGAAAATAGTTTCGCATAGTATAAACGATGAGGAGGTAGAGAACGACAGTACGGGATGTAACTTTCAACAGTTTCTTGATACTCTGCCGAAACCCAGAAAATTCACTTCTGTGGAAAACATCGAGGAAGTGGAGGACGATATTCTGTTGAAGAAAGAAAGTCAAATTCCAAAGCCAGCAAAAAAGCAGACAGTGAGAATATCAGTGCCTTCCTTATCAGAGGTATGCATGTATTATACAATACAATTTAGATCTTTAATTTTATCTAATGTTTGTATATCATATTGTGATTTATATATCATATCATATTGTAAGTTATCTATCATATTGCAGTTTAAAGATCTTGAGGAAGAGAACGAGAAAAAACCAATCAGGATTGTACAATCGTCACAGGTAAATTTATTGCAAATTTAATTGGATATAGTAATGCACATTAAAACCATTGTACATAAATCAATGTAAAAATGTATATTTAACGTAAATATAAAAATAAGTTAATTTACAAAATTCTTAATATACATTATTATATTATTTGGTAAAATATGTATTGGATATTTTATTATTCAAGATATTTCACTTTTATATTGAGATTAGATCAGTGTACAATGGCATTAACATGCATTAAGTGCACACTAGTGTATCCAATCAAATTTACTGTTAGACGAATTTCTTTGAATAAATATACTGAATATATATAACTCATGAATTATTGACCATTGTAGAAACGTTGTGGACTCTTCACCCTTTTGATGGCGCCAAAAGGAGAGACAACAAACAATAAGATTCTAATACCTCAGACTGTTAAGAACGCAGCAATGAAAGCGAATGTACAGCAGCCAAGAACTATGAGGAAATCTAGTACACATCAAAATGATTTTAAAGCAAAAAAGTCAACTTCAGATAAATTACATGATGAATTGAGCTCTGACGAAGAAGATGCGACAATAGATTTCTTTGGACTGACTATAAGTAAAAGTATGCCAAGTAGTTCTGCGAGAGGATTATTAGATTCTGAATTGTCTTCAGATGATCTTGTACATAAGTCAGATACTGAAGCTTCACTTATGGAAGATCATAAAATATGCGACTCTTTCTCTAATTCTGATATCTTGACACATGATCAATCGAGCAATTCGAGCAAAACATTAACAAGTAATGTTATAGATTTACCTAAGGAAGAGATTTTATTGAAGAACAAAGCAGAGGTTGGTCCAAAATTGCCTGTTCCTGAACAAGAATATAATGTTGATATGGAAGGCAATGTTGCTTTTGATGAAAAGGCGATCGAGTATCTTTGTGGAAGGCGTGGTATAAAACGTAAGGAAATCGATGAAGCAGATATAATCGAGATAAATGGAGAAGACATAAAACCGGATGAAAGAGAATGGCTGGTAAAGGCACTGACAGAAGAATCTGTACATAGGCCAGTGTCTATGCAGAGTGGTGGGGTAAATTCCCAATCCAAGAAGAAACATCAAATAACTTATCTAGCGCATCAAGCTAAAGCCATGGAATTGGAACTCAAGAATCAGTGGTCTCAAAATAGAATGGCACGAAAACAAACAAAATCGAAATATGGTTTCTAAAAGCAAATTTGTACAAATTTTTTTTTTTAAGTGCAAATATAAACAATCTTTATTTATTAAGATAAATTAATAACATCTGTATTGAAGAGCATTGCAAATACTGAAATATATTAAAATTTAGTTCAAAATGTTATATTAAACTTAAATTTACTGAGTCTTTTCCAAAAATATCTGTTCTAAGTTCTCATATTCTTTCCTCTTGCTTTCCACCAGTAATTTTGCCTGCAGTAAGTTGGGCGGTAGATCACCATATTGAGCGAGCGATTGATTAAGATCTGTCAACTTGCTTGACTTCTCTAGATATAATTTATATTTATTCAATATTTTCTCTGAAAAAAATTCGTCGACTTGCATGTCACTTAAATCTGCCTCCAATTTTTCCACAGTTTGTTGATACTCCTTCAATTTTGTAGACAGGAAAACTTTGTTGCAATACATATTATTCTTCTCCTCCTCTGTAGTGTCAATAACATTCTTGACAGAATCAACCGCATCTTGAAGATGGTCAAGCTTTGCCTGCAGTTTTGTGCAGTTTCTAAACAATTTATCGTACTGCATGGACATCTGCTTCTCCTCTCGCTGCGATCTTTTTTCCTCTATGATTTTTCGTTCTCTAATCATCCGTAATGCCGTCTCGTCAAATTCGAATAACTTCTCAGTTTTCAGGATCAAAGACAACTTTTCTAAACCTTCTTTTATGTCATTGGGAAATGCTTTGACATCAAGATTCAATTTAGCTAATAAAGTCACCATGTCCTTTGTATATGCAGCATTCTCTTCTGTTGTCTCTGAGATAGCCCTTTGTAAGTGTCGAAGCAAGGAAACCTCTTCGGTTGATGTATCTTCCTCGTGGCATTTTGCAGCACTGATTGCAGTAGAAATTGAATCATTGTGTGACAGCGATGCTACCTATTTTCAATCAATTATTGATTAACGTCTCTCACAAATCTTATCCTTAACAGTTATTAATAATGAAATTATAATTAATAAGTGCATAATAAGACTAATAATGTTGTATTACTCTCAAGATTTATCCTTAATACATATATACAAAAGTATACATATATAACTTCACTAATTATTCATAATGAAGCTAATAACATTATATATTATATTACTTTCTATATATGAATAAAATTCCAATATCCTTGGAGAAATCAATTCACCTCACTATTATTATCCATCCTATTGATTGTTTTGATCTAATCACTTGTTGAATGACGCGTTTGACCCATGAAGTATGAATAAAGAGACGTAACTCCATAGGCCCGTATTCATAGTCAAGGCTTATTTTCAAGATCGTCTTAAGTACAGTCTTAAGATGGCGCTCGATTCATAGTCGTGAAACAAGTCAATACTTGAGCAAAATCTCAAGGTGTAACTTATCGAAGGTGATCTTCTTTGAAATCGTCTTGATGTGATTCGTAAACATATCTTATTCATTATAAGTACGGATTTAAGATCATCTTATCTGTTATGAATTCATAGTTATATAAGATGGTCTTATTTGACATATATATTATTCAATAAGACGATCTTCGTCAAGTCCTCATGGAAGAGGACTTAAGCAGTTACGGATGATAAATA